GTGTAAGTTTCATTAGGTCCCATTTGTTTATTCTTGCTTTATTTCTATTGCTTGGGTAGGCTGCCCTAGGAGAACATTTTTGAGATGTATATGAGATAATGTTTTGCCTGTATTTTCTTCTAGGAGCTTTATTGTATCTTGTCTTATGTTTAAGTCTTTGATTTATTTTGAGTTGATTTTTGTATATGGTGTAAGGGAGTGTTCTAGCTTCACTGATTTACATGCTGCTGTCCAGTTTTCCCAACACCATTTGCTGAAGAGACTGTCTTTATTCCATTGTATACTCTTGCCTCCTTTGTCAAAGATTAGTTGACCAAAAGTTTGTGGGTTCATTTCTGGGCTCTCTATTCTGTTCCACTGGTCCATATGTCTGTTTTTGTACCAATACCACGCTGTCTTGATGACTGTAGCTCTATAGTATTGTCTGAAGTCTGGGAGAGTTATTCCTCCAGCCTCTTTCTTTCTCTTCAGTAATGCTTTGGCAATTCTAAGTCTTTTGTGGTTCCATATAAATTTTTTTATTATTTGTTCTAGTTCATTGAAATATGTCCTGGGTAATTTGATAGGGATAGCATTAAATCTGCAGATTGCCTTGGGCAGTGTGACCATTTTAACAATAGTCCCAGAATCAGCCATTCCTCCAAGGAACCCTGGCTCCTTTTACAGGAGAATGATATTCACAAACCAAGATATGGGTGATCATTGCTACTATAGAGTCATTTCTTTCAGATCCTCATATGTGAGTATACTAATCCCACTGTCTCTCTGCTTCTCTCTCTCTCTCTTTTTTTTTTTTTTTTTTGGAGTTTTTGTTGTTGGGAGGAGGTAATTAGGCTTATTTATTTATTTATTCATTCATTCATTCATTCATTTATTTTTGGAGGAGGTACTGGGGATTGAACCCAGGACCTCATGTATATTATCATGCATACTAAGCATGAACTTTACCATTTGACATACACCCTGCCCCCTCTCTATGGATTTCTGGATGTTACCATCTGTATCTACATTAAGCTAAACATGAGTTCTTACTGATGTCTCCAGTTCCCATGCGTTACCACATCCGTCACTCCCACAGTAAGAAACCTGGCTGCCACCCACCACCTGCCATCCATTTGCTTAACTGTTCAATTCCAATATACGCACCACACCCCATGCCCCAGTGGGAAACGACTTAATCAACAAGCCTGTAGTACTTAAGTGCAATTGCCTTTGCCTTTAGTCTTAACAGACATTTCCAAAGTTATTATGGTCAGCCCGTTTCCTCCATTCCCTTCAGTGAGGATGTTTTATACCTTTGTAATTCGGTTAGGGTCTTTTGTCATAGTCTACATTCCTTCCTGGGGTCTTCCAACCTTGAGGGGTTTTTTCCTTGCCTTTTAGTATGCCTTGTGCTTTTTTAGTGAAAGCTACACATGACATAGTGGGTAATAGGAACTATGGTTAATAGGCCTGTAGCCTGAGGTTTTATGTTGATCTGGCTAAGGATTCTCTGTGTTTAGTTGCTTGCCATAATCGTACATGACTGAGTCCTCAGTTTCCTCTAGTGCCTTTAATTTTGTCTCCCCTAGTGGCTTCGGGTTTCCTTGGAGACTCCTTCTTAAGGTGTGTTACTCGCAGCTCTTTCAGCTGTTTCTACTGTGTTGTACTGAAGCCTATGGACATGCATGGTGGTAGGATGCCAGAAAGGGAGAGATTTCTATAGACTTAGGATTAAATACTAGCCTTTTAGTAAACCTATGTTGGTAAATCTTTTTTGGCTTCCCACTACTTTGTGAGACAGGAAGCCTGGC